TTCTCCTGTCTCGCCCTCCTGAGTAGCTTGGACTACAGGTGTGTGCCATCATGCTCAGCTAATTTTTGTATTTTTAGTAGAGACAGGGTTTCAGGCTGGTCTTGAACTCCTGACCTCCAGTAATCCACCTGCCTTGGCTTCCCAAAGTGTTGGGATTATAGGTGTGAGCCACTGTGCCTAGCTGTGCAAAATTTTTTTTCCCCAAGGCAACTGTCTGTCTTTGATATGCAGCAGAAGTGTTTGTCTGCTTCCCATTTTTTCAAGTAGAATATTTAACAACTTATACAAAGTTGAAACTTACTGAGTAAAATTAATCAGGGCTGGTGCTAGGGTGAAGTGAGTGAGGTACCTTACGGTGCAAAATTTAAGAAAGCAAGAACTAAAAGTGAATACATTTTGCTCTATAGGTACCTCAGTTACCGCACCCTGGCCCTGAGAGCAATAATGTTTACTGCTTTATCAAGGTTGTTCTTTTATTTTCCCCAGCTTTTTTATTGTGTTAAAATAAACAACATAATATTTACAGTCTTAGGCCAGGCGTGATGGCTCATGCCCGTGATCCCAGCACTTTGGGAGGCCAAGGCGGCAGATCACTAGAGCTCAGAAGTTTGAGACCAACCCCAGCAACATGACGAAACCCCGTCTCTATAAGAAAATACAAAAAATTAGCCGGTCATGGTGGTTTGCACCTGTAGTCCCAGTTACCCAGGAGGCTGAGGTGGGAGGATCACCTGAGCCTGGGAGGTCAAGGCTGCAATGAGCTGTGATAGCACCACTGCTCTCCAGCCTGGGCAACAGAGTGAGACCTGTCTCAAGAGAAATTTTTTTTTTTTAACCAGCTTAACCATTTTTAAATGTACAGTTCAGTGGTATTTAATACATTTGTCTTTAACATCACCACCATTCATATCCAGGACTCTTATCTTGTGAAGCTAAAATTCTCTATCCATTAAACAAATGGTAAGTCTTCATCATTCCTCTCCCCATTCTCTGGTAACCAGCAGTCTACACTATGACTTTTTTTCTTTTTTTGAGACAGAATTTCACCCTGTTGCCCAGAGTGGAGTGCAATGGCGCAATCTCAGCTCACTGCAACCTCCGCCTCCTGGTTCAAGTGATTCTTCCACCTCAGCCTCCCAAGTAGCTGGGACTACAGGCACCCACCACTATGCCTGACTAATTTTTGTATTTTTTTGGTAGAGATGGGGTTTCACTACGTTGGGCAGGCTGGTCTCGAACTCCTGACCTCAGGTGATCTGCCTGCCTTGGCCTTCCAAAATGCTGGGATTACAGGCATGAGCTAGCACGCCTGGCCCTATAGTATTATTTTTGACTACTTTAAGTATTTCATTTAAGTGAACTCATACAGTATTTGTCTTTTTGTGCCTGGCTTTTTTCACTTAGCATAATGTCCTCGAGGTTAGTCTATGTTGTAGCATGTCAGAAGTTCCTTCCTTTTTAAGACTGAATAATATTCCATTGTATGTGTATACCATGGCTTATCATTCATCTGTCAGTGGGCACTTGGGTTGTTTCCCATGTTTTAGTGCTTGTGAATAAAGCTACTGTGAACATGAGCATACAAGTACCTCTTTGAGACTCTGTTTTCAGTCTTTCTGGGTATATGCTCAGAATTTGAACTGGCTGGATCATATGGTAATTTTGTTTAAATTTTTTTTTTTTTTTATTTTTTTTTTTTTTTTTTTTTTTTTTTTTTAGAGACAGGGTCTTGCTCTGTTACCCAGGCTGGAGTTCAGTGGTTCTGTTGTGGCTTTCTATTACCTTAAACTACAGGGTTCAAGCAATCCTCCCACCTCAGCCTCCCCAGTAGCTAGGACTACAGGTGTGCACCACCATGCCTGGCTAATTTTAAAAGACATTTTGTAGATATAGGGTCTCACTGTGTTGATCAGGCTGGTCTTGAACTCGTGGGCTTAGGCAGTCCTCCCGCCTTGGCCTCCCACAGTGCTGGGATTATGGGTGTGAGCCACTGCATCTGTCCTGTTTTTAATTTTTTAAGGAACTGCTATACTGTTTTCCACAGTGTCTCAACCATTTTACAAACCTGCCAGCAGTACACAAGGGTTTCAGTTTCTACACATCCTTATAACACTTATTTTCTGCAGGGTTTTTTTTTTTTTTTGTAGTAGCCATCCTAATGTGTGTAAGGCAGTGTCATTGTAATTTTAATTTGCACTTTCCTAGTGAATAGTGATCATCAAGGGCATTCTTAGATTGAAGAAAATTTTTGCCTTTTTTTAGCCATAAGTGCATGGAAGTGCAGGGTACATGATTAATTTAGCTTGGGGTCGCTGTCTTGATTTGTGCTGAAGCTGCAGCAGTTTTGCCCTCCAGTGCCTTTTTGCCTTCCTGTCATTGTTTTTGCATCATTAGTACAGGTGTCAACACAATAAAAAAAGACAATGAATGTTTTCGTATGATTATCAAAGTAATTTTAACATTGCAGGCTCCTGGGTTCCCAGATCACTCTTTGAGAATTGCTGGATTACTAGTATGTGTTCTATGTTTTGTTGTTTTGTTTTGTTTTGTTTGAGATGGAGTCTTCCTCTGTCACCCATGTTGGAGTGCAGTGGCACAATCTCGGCTCACTGCAACCTCCGCCTTCTGGGTTTAAGTGATTCTCCTGCCTCAGCCTCCCAAGTAGCTGGGATTACAGGCACCCACCACCACACCTGGCTATTTTTGTATTTTTAGTAGAGATGGGGTTTCACCATGTTGGCCATGCTGGTCTCAAACTCCTGACCTCAAGTAATCCACTAGCCTCAGCCTTATTGTTGTATTTTTATATATGATTCTTATCTGTTTCAGTACCTGGAACTGTTAAAAATTAATGTTATTTAACTTACAGTTGGCTAAGGAAGATTGGCTACAGTTCAGAAAACTGCTTACACCTTCCACAGGATTTAGCCATAAATTTTTTTTTTTTCCCCAGACGGAGTCTCGCTCTGTTGCGCAGGCTGGAGTGCAGTAGTAGCGCAATCTCAGCTCACTGCAAGCTCTGCCTCCTGGGTTCATGCCATTCTGCTGCCTCAGCCTCCTGAGTAGCTGGGACTACAGGCGCCCGCCACCATGCCGGGCTAATTTTTTTGTATTTTTAGTAGAGACAGGGTTTCACCGTGTTAGTCAGGATGATCTCGATCTCCTGACCTCATGAGCCACCCACCTTGGCCCCCCAAGGTGCTGCGATTACAGGTGTGAGCCACTGTGCCTGGCCACCATCAATGTTTAATTTACTTAGCATGTTATAGCAGTGATTTCTGACTTACCTGCGTATTAAAATCATCTGGAGTGCTCTAAAACCAGTGTATAGTTCCCCGCTCTAGATTTCATTGGTTCCCAACTCTAGATTTCATTGGTTTGGGATGCTGCTTGGACTTTGGGGTTTCAAAAGTTTCTCATTTGACTCTAATATGCAGCCGAGGTTGAGGACCAGTGCTTTATAGTGATTGAACACTGTTTTGATTACCTGTTTACTCAAGTGTTTTCTATATAATTTAAATACAATAGGATTTAAAAAAATGGTTTTGACACTGTTACTGGAACAGAAGAAATTAGATTATGGTAACATGGTTTAAAAACTTGAGAAGTAGCAGTCAGTTCTATGTAAAAGTTTACTTGGGGAAGTATACTAGTGATTTTTTAAAATGGGGTTGGTAATTCTGATTGGAATATTATGGCCTGTGATGGGTCACTTATTCTCAAAAGTATTTTTTTTTTCTTAAACCACTTGATTTATAGTATTCTTTTGTATTTACATAAGTACTCACTGTATAGAATTATTGGGGGAACCTGCCCCTAATAATTTGATGTGAGTCCTTTTCTATTTTCCCTAAGTGTTTGCCAGTCTGAGAAATAAAAGGAAAGAGTACAAAAGAGATAAATTTTAAAGCTGGGTGTCCGGGGGAGACATCACATGTCGGCAGGTTCTGTGGTGCACCCCAAGCCGCAAAACCAGCAGGTTTTTATTAGTGATTTGCAAAAGGGGAGAGAGTGTACAAATAGGATGTGGGTCACAGAAATCACATGTTTCACAAGGCAATAAAATATCACAAGGCAAATGGAGGCAGGGCGAGATCGCAGGACTGGGGCGAAATTAAAATTGCTAATGAAGTTTTGGCACGCGTTGTCGTTGATAACATCTTATCAGGAGACAGCATTTGAGAGCAGACAACCGGTCTGACCAAAATTTATTAGGTGGGAATTTCCTTGTCCTAATAAGCCTGGGAGCACTATGGGAGACTGGGACTTACTTCATCCCTTATCTACAACCGTAAAAGACAGATGTCCCTAGAGCAGCCATTTTAGAGACCTCCCCCAAGGCACACATTCTCTTTCTCAGGGCTGTTCCTTGCTGAGAAAAATAATTCAGCGATATTTCTCCTGTTTGCTTTTGAAAGAAGAGAAATATGGCTCTGTTTTGCCTGGCTCTCAGGCAGCCAGACCTAATGGTTATCTCCCTTGTTCCCTCAGCATCGCTGTTATCCTGTTCTTTTTTTCAGGGTGCCCAGATTTCATATTGTTTAAACAATTTGTGTAGTTAACACAATCATCACAGGGTCCTGAGGCGACATTCATCCTCACCTTACAAAGATGACGGGATTAAGAGACTAAGGACAAGACAGGCATAGGAAATCACAAGAGTATTGTTGGGAAAGTGGTAAATGTCCATGAAATCTTCACAGTTTATGTTCAGAGATTGCAGTAAAGACAGGCATAAGAAATTATAAAAGTATTAATTTGGGGAACTTAATGAATGTGCATGAAATCTTCACAATTTATGTTCTTCTGCCATGGCTTCAGCTGGTCCCTCCGTTCAGGGTCCCTGACTTCCCGCAGCATAGAATGCATTATATTAGTAATGGAGTAGAAGTAAGTATTTCTTAGAAAATGAATTTTAAAGTAATACAAGCACATTGTTTTCAGGTGCTAATGTCTTTTTTTTCTTAGAATTAAAAGAATTTTTCTTTTTTTTTTTTTAGAATTAAAGTTGGGAGAACTACTTCATGATAAGCTGTAAGTATTCTTTGAAAATGGTGTAGTGTAATATTTCAGTCTTTTTTTTTTCTCATGTGGAGTAATATTCCCTGAAGTTTGAGTAAATTTACATTTCAAAATTATGAAAATAAAACTAATTATAAATGTATTTTTAACTGTGATGAGCTATTTTGGGGCAGCTGACCCTAGTTGTGATGTGAAATGGTTATACCTAGGGAAACTGTAACTTATGGTCCTTTCCTGGAGAGCAGATGTAATGAATGTGGAATTTCTTGAAGAAAAGGTGTCAGTTGTATGTCATATGTGATAGGTTGGTTGATAACCAGAAATTGGGTGACTGAGGGCCTAGATAAAAGTAAAAGAGAATCCCTTTGTCTTAGTCAGTTTAGTGTTGCTATAGCTAAATACCTGAAACTGGGGAGTTTATAAAGAGGTTTATTTGACACAATCCCTGTGTCTTAGTCAGTTTAGTGTTGCTGTAGCTGAATACCTGAGACTGGGGAGTTTATAAAGAGGTTTATTTGATGACTGGAAGGTTCAAGATTGGGCAGCTGCATCTAGTGAGAGCTTTAGGCTGCTTCAACTCATGGTGGAAAGCAGAAGGGGAGCAGCGGGGAGTGGCATGTGGTGCGAGGAGATCACATGGCAGGGGAGGATGCAAGAAAGAGAAACCGAGCAAGTCAGAGTCTTTAAAACAACCCACCCTCTTGGATGGTATTGTTGACCCTTGAACAACTTGGGGATTGGGGTGCCGACCCCCCCCCTTACAGTAAAAAATCCACATAAAACCTTTGACTCCGCCAAAATCTTAACTACTGGTAGCCTGTCATTGACTGGAAGTCTTACCAATAACATAAACAGTTGATTAACACATATTTTGTGTGTCATATGTGCCATATACTGTATTCTTACAGTAAACTAGGGAAAAGAAAATGTTATGAAGAAAATTGTAAGGAAGAGAAAATATACTTACTGTTCGTTAAGTGGATCATCATAAAGGTTTTCATGTTTGTCATATTTGTGTTGAGCAGACTGAGGAAGGAAGAGGAAGTTAGTCTTGCAGTCTCTGGTGGCACAGGTGCAAGAAAACCTTTGTCTAAGTGGACTCATGCAGTCCAAACACATGTTGTGAAAGGGTCAACTGTAATTCATTCCTGGGAGAGCAAGAACTCACCTCCCTCGGAGGGCTTTAATCTATTCATGGGGATTCTCCCCCATGCCCAAGACACTTCCCACTAGGCCTCACCTCCCAACACTGCCACATTGGGGATCAAGTTTTAACATGAATTTTGGTGGAGGCAGACCACATTCAAACCATAGTACCTTGGAAAAACAAAATAAATGGAAATACTTGTTCATGTTTATATGCCTATATATAGCCCCAGTTCCTATACTGCCATGGCCAGGCTCAATTTTCAGGGTTAGGAATGTGAAACTTTTAATTAGTAAGTAGACAAGATTGAACATTGTGGTTGTGGGGAAGGGAAAGTAGAATCAGAAATTCAGTTCTTCTCAGATTTGAGCGTGCGACAGAATCATCTGGAGGGCTTACTAAAGCATAGATTGCTGTGCCCCACCCCGAGAATTCTTTATTAGGTCTAGTGTGAGACCACAGAAATCTTAAATATTTCTTTTTTTGTTGTTGTTTTGTTTTGTTTTGTTTTGTTTTGAGATGGAGTTTTGCTCTTGTTGCCCAGGCTGGAGTGCAGCGGTGCGATCTCAGCCCACTGCAACCTCTGCCTCCCGGGTTCAAGCGATTCTCCTGCCTCAGCCTCCCAAGTAGCTGCGATTACAGGCATGCGCCACCATGCCCAGCTGTTTTGTAACAGGGTTTCTCCATGTTGGTCAGGCTGGTTTGAACTCCCGACCTCAGGTGATCCACCCGCCTCGGCCTCCCAAAGTGTTGGGATTACAGGCGTGAGCCACCACGCCCGGCAGAAATCTTTTTCTTCCTCACAGTGCATGTAAAATCATTTGAGTGGCAAGTACATGAAATAATTTTTGTATCAATCGACAGTTAATTGAAGTAGAAGTGTTAGCAAGTTGAGAAGACTGAATACATAGAATAGTTATGAAAAGTAGTATAATTTTATACCATTGTGAAAATATGAGTAAGCTTACTGGCTCAAAAACAATCTGTGGACTTAATTTTTTTTTTTGCAGATTTGGTCTTTTTGAAGCCATGTCTGCTATTGAAATGATGGATCCCAAGATGGATGCTGGCATGATTGGAAACCAAGTTAATCGAAAAGTTCTCAATTTTGAACAAGCTATCAAGGTAGTCACCATTGTACTTTTTGTGTTTCCTTTTATCTTTTGTTATTTTATGTTAAAACATTGTGCTTAATAATGAAATGAAACGTTGTATTAAAGTCTGTTTCCTTCAAAGCAGCTCAAGTATATAAACAAGAATTAGTTACAACCTTTATATGTTAAAATCTGAAAATTAAGGTCTTCATTAAAATCTTGCTCTAAATTTGTGCATTTGTGTACTTTTAAAATTAATTTTTGAAAGCATTTGACTCTATATTCAAATAGGAAAATTGGCTTGGGGGTTAAATTTTGTGTATTAATATGTTAATACATAACAGTAAATTTGCACAAGTAAAATACTTGTAGTGAATTTAAAGTTGCTTTAGAAATTCATTTATACTTGCAATAGAGTTTGATTTTACATATTTTGTAAAGAAAGGTTTGCTGAGCAAATGAATATTGTAAACAAAATTTGCAAGTAATATAGTTAACTAACTTAAGTGTTTTAAAAAATCTTTAGTTTTCTTTCTAAGTAGTTTTGGGTCATTAAAATGATTTATATTAATACTTAAAGCTGGTTTGAACTGCTTTTAAAATACTTGTTGATTTGGCTTTTCATTTTATATAAAGGCCTTTATTGTTTAGATTTTTCTTATTGAAGACCTAAGATATATTGTTTTTACAATTATGTCAATTAAAAATAAAATTTATAAGATGATAGTTTTTAAGAATACAGAGTTAATTTGGTGTGATAGTTTTATCAGATGATAGATAGCATTTTCTTAGAATTGCTGTTTTTAAATATTGAATGTTAGAAATCCAGAATGCTACTATACATAGTAACCATGTTTAAAAAAATTTCTGCTTATATGTCACATTCTTCCTCCTTTTTAGGATGGCACTATTAAAATTAAAGATCTCACCTTGCCTGAACTGATAGGGATTATGGATACATGTTTTTGCTGTTTGGTAAGAATGGAATTAAGACTATTGGTTAATTTAAAAACTGTGATTTACCTGAATCTTGTGATTTAAAAGCCTATGCACTAATGTTGAGTATGAAATAAATGTAATACTTGGCCTAGTAAAGATGTGCATAAGATTGGCAGGCCTGGTAATAGGATTTCATCTTGTCATCTACTTGATTTTACATTTTAATTTTCTGAGTGAAGGGATATTTTCTTTTCAGTGAAGATAGTATTGTAGCCATTGTTCATAATACCCTTTTCGTTCTCAAGTTACTCAAGCAATAAGTCTGTAATTGGAAGGTTTCATAAATAAGCGTGGAATCGAAACAAAAAGAGAGCTAGACAATGGCTTTGGAGAGATTTTTTCTAATCTAGGATAAATTGTGGTAAACTGGCCATCTCCTGGGAAGAAAATTTTTTAGTGATTTGTATATGCTGAATTATGTTTTCCCTGGAAAGTATTGTGTGTGGAGAAATTCTCATTTGTACTGCTTTCCTCTCCTCCCTGCTTTCTGACCATCCCTTTCTTTTAAATTGACATTAAATCATTGTCCTTAGAAATACGTAAAATTTATTCATTTGTTCATTCAGCGTTTATTGATTGATTGCCAGTGTGTGTAGTTGTATTAGGTGTTTTATATGTACAGTTTTCACTTACGTTTTACATGAGCTTTATTAGGTATCCGTACTATCTTACTGTCTATGGTTATGTTGCTTGGGAGGGCCCTTGCCAGTATCTTAATCCTGATCCTTCATCTTTCAAAGCTGTCTCTTTACCCCCTCAAAGATTTCTTTATTACCTTTTAGCAGTTTACAGTCCTAGTGGGTGGAGTAAAGAAAAGAGTCAAAGGATTGCTGGGAACAGACATGTGAATAAACAATTCTGACAACATGAAAATGCTTTTATAATGGTGCTGTGGGAACAGAGAGGAGGAGTTAATTATGTCTGGGAGAGTAAGAAAGGCTGTAGAAAGGAAGTAATATTGGTATGAGGTACTAAAGAATGGTAGGTGTATGACAGGAAGATTCATGGTTTAGTAGGCAAAGAGGTATATTGCATGAGTATGGCAATGTGAAAATGTTCATTTTGGAAAATCATAGATAGCTGCTTAAGGCTGAAGTCTGGCAGGGAGCCAAGTAGGAGGAGTGTGGGATAAGTGGAGAGTGGTGGAGAAGGAGGGAAAGGTAAACAGAGGGAGGATTTTTGCCAAAGTTGAGGAACTATTCTGTGAGACTCTTGGGACTGTATTTAAAAATTTGGACTTTAAAAGGCAGATGGTTTTTAGTCTGGAAAGTCTCTCTTCTGCACAGTAGTTAATACCAAATACACACCTTAATTACAAGTTTTCCACAAACATTTGTCATTTTGCAATGCAGTAGCATATGTCTTACTCTGTTGCAGAATTCTTGGGCTTTAGTGTAAAAATAACTATAAACTTGGGCAAATGATTTAAACTCTTACTCTGTTTCTTTACATGTAAAAGGAGAAAAATACCACCTTCCTCAAAGTGCTAGGAAAAAATGAGAGATATTTGAAAATAACCTACCATAATATTTGGGACACAGTACTTACCCAATTTTGCCTGTTGTTGGTATTCCCAACCTCTAGTACATGGTGCCAGACATATAGTGGTCACTCAGTAAAATAGTATAAAATGATTCTCTTAGTGTTTTAGGAAGATCTCTACTTGGGGTATTAAATTGGAGATGGGAGGCAGGAAAACCTGTCTAGTTTCTAGTTTCTTCCGATAATCTAGGTGAGATATGGTGTTGACTGGGTTGTGGTGGTAAGGATTATAAAGTTCGATGAGTGTCTAAGGATCTGGTTAGTTCTACAATTGTGAATTTTCCAGTTTATGGATTTTTTTATTGACTACATTGTGGACCTGATTTCTTTTGGATGCTACATAAAGAGGCAGTCTTAATTTCATTAATCTCTAATATGTTGCAAACTGATGTACATACGACAGTGATTCCCATAGATGCTTGAAAAATGTTAGTCAATGAAAGGAATTCTAACTTGTCTTTTTTTTAAGTCTTGTGATTAATCTTATCTGGGTCTATGGTGCTTCTGGCCTTTGACTCTAGGATCAATTTAGACTTTGCAGACTCAATTTTATCACCTTAAATATATACTTTTTTGTTTCTTTATAGATAACATGGTTAGAAGGCCATTCGTTGGCACAGACAGTATTTACGTGCCTTTACATTCATAATCCAGACTTTATAGAAGATCCTGCTATGAAGGCTTTTGCTCTGGGAATCTTGAAAATCTGTGACATTGCAAGGGAAAAAGTAAATAAAGCTGCTGTTTTTGAAGAGGTAAGATTTTGTAATGTAAGAATTCCTTGGCCAGGTGTGGTGGCTCATGCCTGTAATCCCAGCAGTTTGGGAGGCCAAGGTGGGCAGGTCACCTGAGGTCAGGAGTTTGAGACCAGCCTGGCCAACATGGTGAAACCCTGTTTCTACTAATACACAAAATAGCCAGGTGTGGTGGCATGCACCTGTAATCCCAGCTACTTAGGAGGCATGAGAGTTGCTTGAACCCAGGAGGCAGAGGTTACAGTGAGCTGAGATTGTGCCACTGCACTCCAGCCTGGGCAACAGAACGAGACTGTCTCCAAAAAAAAAAAAAAAGAATTTCTGAAGTTCATTGACTACCTTATTCACTGTGATGTATTTAAATGATCGTGATACATACTTTCGTCTATATGTATATTTAAAAACAGTTTTTAAAAGTAATGCTGTTGCCATTTACAGATATATTGAGTAAAGTAATTCAGTTCTCTCCAAGAAAGGGCTTTCATCTTAGCATATGTTCTTTCTGTCAGTACCGTTCAGAGTATCCGTGTGTGCAGACTACTGTTTTTGGAGGTTGTGGGGATTCCCAGAGAAAAATGAAAGAGACAGCCCTTGTCCTCCAGTCTGTTAGAAATTATAATACAAAAAGGGAGCTAAGGAGAACAAAGACATGAATATTTTAGGGTATAGACATTTTCCTTTGGTTTGTCTAAGTTTTAGAGATAGAAAGATTTTTTTTCCCCTTTAGTGTAAAAAATAAGCTTTCGGACGCTGATAATTTTCAGGGAATTGCATCTCAACCTAGGACTACAAAAAAAAGAATTGTATAAGGGAAAACGTGATAGCATTTGAAATTGTTGATAACTAACTATTTTTGTTAAATTCTTCTGTTGAAACCGATGTTTCTTTTTAGTGCTGTTACTGGTCCAGAATAAATTTCTTAGGATCCAACAATGGTTCAGTGTATAGTATGTAAAACTTTTCTCAGTTTATACTATGTATGTGAGAATAATTAAATGTATACTCAATATGTTTGTCAATATTTGAAGGTGTGGCTTTTTTTTTTTGGAGGGGATGGGGTTTCAGTCCTTTTTCCCAGGCTGGAGTACAATGGGGCAATCTCAGCTCACTGCAACCTCCGTCTCCTGAGTTCAAGCTATTCTTGTGCCTCAGCCTCTCGAGTAGCTGGGATCACAGGTGTGCACCACCACGCCTGGCTAATTTTGTATTTTAGTAGAGACCTGGTTTCACTCTGTTGGCCAGGCTGATCTCAAGCTCGTGAGCTCAGGTGATCCACCTGCCTCAGCCTCCCAAAGTTCTGAAATTACAGGCGTGAACCACCGTTCCTGGCCGTATGGCTTTGTGAGTTGTTTGAAATAGTGTCCACTTTTTATATAGTCATTGGTTATTTGCATATTGTATTGATATATCATTATGGAAAATTTTATTCATTTGGATAGAATTTTAAAAAGATTAGTTTGAGTTAGAGAAAGGCAGATTATTTTAAATACTAGTATTTTCAAAGTACAACTAAAAGGACATCAGAATCAGTGGGCAGAGAGGATTCCTTGAATAACAGTGCATGAACAATTGCTTGGCACCCTTGAAAGTTACTTTATCATTTCATATCAAAATTTCAGAAAGCTGAAATGTGTTCAGTATAAAAAATTAAAAGAAGATAGTTTACAGAAAATAAAATGGCCTTTAAATGTAAGATGTTTAATCTCACTTTAATGCAAATTAAAACTGAAATACCATGTTTTTACCCATTGTTGGCAAAGATTAGAAATTGTTTATAGTAAGATTGATGAAGATGGGAAAACAGGCACTCATATACTCTGTGTGTATGTGTGTGTGTGTGTCAATGAATATGAGCGGTCATTATTTCCCACTTCTTAGTCTTTTTTTAGAACTTTTTATTGGGGAATAATTTCAGATTAGCAGCAATTATGGGAACCAGCACAAAGAACATATAATTCATATGCAGATTCAGCTACTGTTAACATACTGTCCCATTTGCTTTTTTCACTTACGCATGTGCTCCTGCTCACTCTCTCTCTCATGTATGTATGTATGTCTTTTCCTGACCTGTTAGTAAGTTGTGCCCATTACAGCCTTCTTCCCCGTGACACTTTAGTGTGTTTCTCCAAAGTAAAAGGGCACTATCCTGCAGAACCACAGCACAATTATCAACTTCAACAAATCTGTAATAACAATACACTATTCAGATTCCATTTTTGTTAATTGACCCAATCCCTCTTAGTGTTTTTTCCCCGATCCAGTCTAGAATTATGACCTGCATTTAATTGCGTATTTCTGTAGTATTCTTTAAGCTACATGAGATCCTCAGCTTTTCTTTATTTCCGGTGACATTGATATTTTTGTGAACACAACCTTGTCCTGCTTTTCATTTCTTAATAGGCTATGCCTCACTTGGGTTTATCTGTTCTTTCCTAGTGATTAAATTTAGATTGTGCAGTCTTGGGTGGAATATAACATAAGTGATGTGTGTTTTTCAGGGTGTCACATCTGGAGGTATACAGTCTGTCTGCCCTTCAATGGTGATATTATTTTGGTCAGTTCATAAAGCTTTTGTCTTATTTCTATATGGTTACTGTTTTTTCCCTTTGTATTTAAGCAATCTTGGGATACACTTTAAGACCATAAAAATATCCTGCTGACTGAAATCTCTCCCCTTAGATTGAACATCTATCGACAGTGCTTGCCTGGACTAATGTTTACTGTGATGGTTGCAAAATTTGTATTTTTTGATTCCAGTACATTTTCCACATTGATCAGTCAGTACTTGACATCCTACTCTAAGCAAGACTCCTACTTTTTTGGTGGGAGTGTAAACTCTTGCAACTTTAAAAAAGAGCAATGTGGTGATATCTATCATAATCTAATATGCATGTCTTGACTCAGCAGTTTCACTTCTAGCACTCCATCCTACAAATATATTTGTGTTTGTACACAAAGACCTGTGTACAAGGATATTACTTACAGAATTGTTTGTAGTAACTAGTTTGGAAACCACCTCAGTATCCATCAGTAGAAGACTAATTAAAAGATGTTACATTCATACAATCAAATGTTTTGCTGCTGGCTGGTGTGGTGGCTCATGCCTATAATTCCAGCACTTTGAAAGGACAAGGTAGACAGATGACTTGAGCCTGGGAGTTCGAGGCCAGCCTAGGCAACATATCGAGACCGTGTCACTACAAAAAATGCAAAAATTAGGTGGGTGTGGTGGTGTGTGCCTGTAGTCTCAGCTACTGGAGAAGCTGAGGTTGGAGGATCGCCTGAGCCTGGAGAGGTCAAGGCTGCAGTGAGCTGTGATTATGCCACTGCACTCCAGTTTGTGTGCAGAGAGAGACCCTGTCTCCAAAAAAAAAAAAAAAGGATATTTTACTGATTTTAAAATGGAAGAGGAGATTGATTTATGTGTAGAGATAAGATTAGATTTCTAAAGTGAGAAAAGTCAGGTGTAGTAAAGCATGTGTATAGCTTGCTACCACTTTTTTCTGTTTTAAAAAGGGAGATGGGTAGCTAAATCTTCATACACAAGAGGATAATAGGTCTTGAGGGCTGGGGTATACGCTTGTTTGCACTGTTGGGATTTTTATGGTGTGTCTGCATTATTTTGTTTTTAAAGAAACTAAAGTAAGTTTTTTAGTAACAAGAAATTATACTTGAATTTTATTTCTAGAGGATTCCACTTTGTTACCCAGGCTGGAGTGCAGTGGCATGATCATAGCTCACAGGTAGCCTCATTCCTATGCTCCAGCAATACTTTGCCTCAGCCTCCTGAGTAGCTAAGATTACAGATGTGTTCCACCACACGTGGCTAATTTTTAAATTTTTTGTGAAGACTGGGATTTGCTTTATTGGCCAGGCTGGTCTCAAACCCTGGGACTCAAGTCATCTTCCCACCCCAGCCTCCCAAAGTGCTGGAATTACAGCCGTGAGCCACCACACCTGGCTGGTAATTGAAGATCCATTTATATTCTGGATGAAGGTCTTACTAGGAAATGGGAGAAATGTTAAAGGAAGAGACTAATAGGACAAGAGTGATAGAAAAACTTTTAGGAAAAATAAAAGGTACAAAGAAGATAATTTTTATGAATTATGGTCACATTCAAGTAAAGTATAACACTCAGGCCCAAATGAATAAATGGGCAATAAAATAGGTTGCTTATTTTATGAAGGAAGGTTATCAAATGGCTGTAACACTTTTAAAATTTAGCTTCACTATAATCCAGGAAATACAAATGAAAATGAGTAGTTTGATTTTTTCTTTCTTTTTTTTTTTTAACCTCACCCACCTCTTGATCTCAGATTTCCCGGCTCCTAAAACTGATTGATTTTCATGAATATAATTTTAAAAATGAAAATGTTCAGTGTTGGAAGGAATGCAGTAAGTTGACACTTCTGTTTTTACTAGTGTACATTAGCACAGCTGTTTTGGCAAACAGTTTAATAATGTGTATATCAAGAATCTTAAAAATACTGATATTTAAACTAGTTATTTCTTGTAACTCAGCCTTAAAGAAATAATTAGGCTGGGTGCTGTGGCTCACACCTGTAATCCCAGCACTTTGGGAGGCCACGATGGGCGGATCATCTGAGGTCAGGAGTTCGAGACTAGCCTGGCCAACATGGTGAAACCCCGTCTCTACTGAAAATACAAAAATTAGCTAGGCATAGTGGCACATGCCTGTAGTCATGCCTACTTGGGAGGCTGAGGCAGGAGAATCGCTTGGACCTGGGAGGTGGAGCTTGCAGTGAGCTGAGATTGCACCACTGCACTCCAGCCTGGATGACAGAGTGAGACTCCATCTCAACAACAGTAACAAAAAAGGATGTAATTAGAAATGTGGGCACTTTATGCCCAAATGCATTAACCAGAGTTTTCATTAGTGAACAATTGACACCAACCAGAATGCCACCATTAGAGTTATGGTTGAAATAAATTATGGATAATTGATTACACATAATTTATTATGTATATTGAGTACGTA